AAGAATCTAGGTTTTTGGAGCCTAGATATCTAGGCACAGCATTTTGCAAATTTTACATGAACACATACCAATAAGCCATAAACACATTGCTAGTGCCCTTTCCAGATGAGAAGATGTGAAGTTGAAGCTTCAGTAATTTCAGGTAAATCCCCCTCTGATCATACACATGCATATTTATTTACTGTCTGCCTTCTGCTAGAATGTAAGTTCCAAGAAGGCAAGAATTTTATCGAAACCAGCGGTTCTCAACCTGTGGGTCGCGACCCCTTTGGGGGTCAACGACCCTTTCACAGGGGCTGCCTAAGACCATCAGAAAACACATATATAATTACATGTTGTTTACAGTAGCAAAATTACAGTTATGAAGTAGAAACGAAAATAATTTTATGGTTGGGGGTCACCACAACATGAGGAACTGTATTAAAGGGTCGCGGCATTAGGAAGGTTGAGAACCACTGATCTAAACTGTTAGCTCCTGCAGTCTCGTTGTTTTCTAACACTAGGAAGCTTTGTAACTTTGTTGAAGGAACCAGTTGAAGCTGGTACAGTTTTCCAGGTAGATATGGCAATGGCCTGGCCTGGGGCTTGATGCGTGGATGGCATCAGAATGATGTCAGAAGCCTCAAAACAGTGACAGTAACACCCATTTTAAAGCTGAGAATGCAGAGCCAGGGCAGTGCAGCATGTGACCAATCAGAAGTGACACAGGGCCTAGAACACAATCTGCCTTCCTTTGCCCCCTCTTGGCCCTCCCTATCCCTGTCCCCAGCCGCCCCTTGCACAAGGCCCTGATGCAACCCTCTACCGGCCCTGGGCGCCCCTCTTGTGAGCAGCTCTGGGAAAAAGATTTTGCAAGAGCTGGGGCAGGAAGCTCTAGCCAGGGCGGTCCTGGGAAGATAAGGGCGCCCCCGCCCCTTGCGCGCCTCCAGGCCTTCTGGTTTCCTCTCTTCCCTTCCTTTCCCTTTCCGGGAAAGAGGCGCCCAGACCTGGCCTGCCTGTGACTCACCACCTCTCCCTCCGGCAGCCACACTGGGGTCCTAGGCCCTCCTGTTCCTGGACGGGCTTGCTGTGTGTGACATCGGGCAGCAGGGACCTCTCTCGCCAGCAGTTTCTGGAACTCAGTAAGAATAGCTGGCATGAAGACAGGTTCTACCTCTGAGCCTTAGTCTCAGGAGGCAAAGTGTGGGGTGCTCCTGGAGTACCCCCCCATTAAGCCAATTTTGAGGTCTGGGTGACTCAGATTGGCAAGTGTACGGTTGGGGCTTGTGTGTAAAACACCCTTGACCCCTATGGGGGGGCTTAGGCATCCAGAAGTCAGGGCCTGGTGGTCTCTCAGCCTCTAGGGCAGCGGTTCTCAACCTGTGGGTCGCGACCCCTTTGGCGGTCAAACGACCCTTTCACAGGAGTCGCCTAAGACCATCCTGCATATCAGATATTTACATTACGATTCGTAACAGTAGTAACATTACAGTTATGAAGTAGCAACGAAAATAATTTTATGGTTGGGAGTCACCACAACATGAGGAACTGTATTACAGGGCCAGAAGGTTGAGAACCACTGGTCTAGGGCAAAAGCAGACATGTCCACAGTTTGGTTGGTCTCTATCCTGTTCATGACCTGTGCCCAGCTGTGTGACCTGTCCTCCCAGGTCAGGTCACGCGGGACCTGGCCCAGGTCCTCTTGGAGACTGTGAGCCTGGGCCAGTCCCATCTCTTAAGGCTACTCTAGCAAACTTCTTGAAATTGAGAAATGCCAAAACAAACTGTGGATTGCAAAAATTGTGATATGTTTTGTGTCCTGGCTTTCCCAGTTGATGCATTTAAAACAAAAAATCTACAATGACCAGGTATGATTTCAATTGGGGAAGTAAGATGGAAAAGGCTACATTGGGTGTCCTGAGAGAACGTGAAGACTCTCATGAGCCTGGTGGGGACCAGCCTGATTTCTGGAAAAGTCCTCCAAGTCAGTGAGGGCCCCAGCATGGCCTTGGGTGGGTCACTTCACCTCTCTGCCGTCTCCCTTTTTTCATCTGAAAGTAGGAACAACAGTGGGTCCACACACCTGACAGGGCTAAGACAAAACCCCCTTAGAAAAGGCTCAAACCATTTCACACCAGCATCCACCAAGTGCCCATCCCAGAGCCGAACTTCTACTACACAGCGGTTCAATGGGTCCTGGAGGCTGAGGGGAGGGTCTGAGCCCATTTTCCAGGTGAGACAGCGGAGGCTCCTAAGGTGAAGTGAGGAGCATCCAGGCCTTGTCAGAGGCGGTGGTCTACCAGCCTTGCTACTGAACTGCTAGCCTATTTTGATCGGTGTTGCTGCTGTTGTTCCCGTGATTAAAGTGAGTATATAACAACACTGCCCCCCCCTCCCCAGCTGTGAGGATTAAATAAATCAATTTTTCAAAGGAACTTAGTAGCCCTAGCTGGGTTGGCTCAGTGTATAAAAGCCTCAGCTGCAGACTGAAGGGTCCGGGTTCGATTCCAGTCAGGGGCACATGCCCGGTTTCGGGCTCCATCCCCAGGAGGGGCCTGTAGGAGGCAGCCATTGATGTGTCTCTCTCTCTCCCCCTCTCCCTTCCTCTCTGAAATCAATAGAAATATATATTTTGTAAAAAGACCTTAGTATATAGTACCTGGCACATCCTAGTGCTCTGTGTTTGTTAAAACAAAAAAGAAAAAACTTCAGGTCTTGGGCCCACTGCCCTAGGGCAAAGTCCAATGTCCAAGAAGCTCTGTCTCGGTGTTTCTTTGCGGGCCACCTCCCGGCTCCTCGCCCATCAGGAGGGATTAAGGAGTTAATGATTTCCCAAGCCGGGGCGGAGAGG